ATTCACACCTGCACAAAAGGTCCAGACCAACGCTGGAAACGAACTCTGGTTCTTTTAAAGCAGACCAAATTGTCAGGTCTGAATACGACCTAAAATAACAAAAACATGAACTTCATTTGATTCTGGTTGCAGCAGTAGTTTCATGCTGTGAATGTAAGTGTTCATGAGTTCAGCCGTTAGTGATTCGWGGAGCAGTGTCAGCCTGCAGGGCCAGCTGACTGACGTCCAGTCAACTGGAGGACAAGACAGAACCCGTAGTATCAATAGAGTTCCAAATCAAAACTTCATTTTAGGGGTATCCTGATCCGATACCAATATTAGGTACTGGTCCAATATTAGCCAAAAAATGAATATCCGATATATCGGCCTGCATCTAAAATCACAGATACAGTTCATTCAAGCATTCTGCTCAGGATTTCTATTCAGCAGCTTGAATCCAGCATAAATAATTTAAGTGACCTTGAATAGTTATTTTACACTTTAAATGTATATTTTTGTTTTTATTGGATTTATTGAGGTAATGTTTCAGGGTCTTCTTTTATTATTTATTTATTGTATTTAATTGTACAATATTCTTATGTTTAGGTTAAAAAATATGTAGAACAACAAAATTGCCAAATTTTCTCTTTCTCTTTTTTCGTATTGGAGTCGTGMTTGCTACTTTTTTCATATTAAAAAATATGTAGCCCAATGGTTAATAATAAATGGGATCAGTCTCTCTCTTATCCACTGATGTTGACTATTGTTTACTCTTTGACTTGATCAAGATGTTTTAAGATTCCATACTACAAATAAAGTAATAAAAGCTGCAATATCAGCATTGTATCAGAAATGAAAAGTTGTATCGGGACACCCCTACTCAATATAAGCAAAGACTACTAGTTGCTGATTTTTAATCATTTTTTACACCCATATCAGGGTCTGACACCTAAAACAGCTATCACATAACAGGACCATGCTGGTCATAAAGGATCTTGTTGTAGGATATGAGAGCTTACCTCAGTGCCACTGCCTCTCATCACAAGCTCAGGTATGTCATAAACCTGATCTTCCATTTCCACTKTTTGCTCGCCGTTACCCTTAACTTTAACCAGGAGAATTCTGAAGGAGGATCCACCGAGGTCCAACGCCAGGAACTCCCCTTGTTCTTTGAATAAAAACAGAAACAACATCAGACATTTYCCCTCTCTCCTGCCCTCCCTTATCTTTCCCTGCTTTGCTGTTCGGAGCCTCCTCAACATTTTTCATCTGAAACTGAAAATTATGGAATTATTTTTGTGGATTTGGTTAGCTGGAACAATTAATTATTTTATTTAATTTTATTTCCATTGGAGGACATGTCAAAGGTGGGACCTCTGTTCTGCACTGTTCAACTA